AATTAAAATTATTTATATAAAAATAATATTAAAAAAGATTAATTTTTGTGATTTTTTATATAACTTAATTATAAAAGCACTAAAAAAAAACCTTCATTTACCACACACTTTTTCCGGACAAGCCGTCGCAACAAGGCCGTTGTAAATATTATTATAGTTCAATATTAGTGCAAATTGTTATAATAAAAAATGTCATAACATGTAAATTTTTATTTTTTCTTGGAGTGAAGGGTACCAATCTAATGATACAAGTTAAACAAATTATTTTAATACGAGTGTCCATGAAGTTAGCTACTTTCTTCATATATTTTTGCCAAGTCTCAAACCTAGGTTATTAAAAAAAAAAAAAAAAACTCTTACAAGTAATATTAAAGCTAAAGGATCTAGTTGTTACTTTTTAAAAGTTAGAGATTAAATTGTTAGCCACTTGAAAGTTTTAAATCGTAAAATATTGTTACTACTTCATCCCCTCAAACGGCTCCGCTACGTGTCATAAGCGCCTTTAACAGAACCGATCCGGTTCCGGCCATTGTGTCCAATAGACAACCGCCATGATGTACGGTTTCCTTGTCCCGTCCACACATGATGGCATCTCAACTCAATCCGAAGATAAAGATGATATAAACAGCGGCAGTTTCGAGTAACTGTTGATGTAAACCCCTAAGGAGAACCGTCGGATCGTAATCACGCTAACAAGACATAAAAAAACGGTGAACAAATTACCGACGAGGGAACAGAACAATAACTGCAGGGGGAGGAGGTGGAGGAGGAGGAGAGCTGAGCTGAAACCCTAACAGCACAGAGAGATTTTGGGGTTCTTTTCGGAGAGGAAGGATAGGCATCTGTGCGTCCAAACCAGGTGGCGCGGCGCGCAAAGCCGCCCCACAAAGGCCCGCGCCCCCTCCTCCTGTCGCAGCTCCTGCGCCACCCGATCCCGCCGCCGCAGGCTCGACCGCTTTCGACCGCGCCTCTTCGGCCAAAATGAAGGGGCTGTTTAAATCGAAGCCGCGAACTCCGGTGGATATCGTTCGACAAACAAGAGATCTACTTATTTTCGCCGACCAGGGCCCCGACCCTCGGGAATCGAAGAGGGAAGAAAAGGTCTGGTTACACAATTGATTAATTGTAAACATGTAATCTATCAATTTATTCAATTTATATTCATCTGAATCGCATTTTTGGTTAATCAGAAGTATAAGACATTTTAGATCGCTGATTTTCAGTTTTGGTTATGTTATGTTATTGGAGGTAAGCCAATTTTCTTTTGCTATGTCCTGCTATCTGTGCTACTCGCTGGATTTCGCATTTATGCAATTTGAGTTTTTTGCTGCAGATGGCGGAATTGAGTAGGAATATTAGGGAGTTAAAGTCAATTCTTTATGGAAATAGTGAATCAGAGCCGGTTGCAGAAGCTTGTGCACAATTGACTCAGGAGTTTTTCAGGGAGAACACATTGCGACTTTTAATCATTTGTCTTCCTAAATTGAACTTGGAGGTAAGTTGGTTGTGTGGAAAAATGTGTTAATGTGGAGTTTTGCAGTGCTAAAAACCCACAGCATTATAAGTATACCCTTCTTGTCACTTAATTGTCATGTATCAACTTTTGCAGACTCGGAAAGATGCAACTCAAGTTGTTGCAAATTTGCAAAGGCAACAAGTCCACTCGCGGTTGATTGCTTCTGATTACTTGGAAGCAAACACTGACCTTATGGATATTTTAATATTAGGGTAAGTAGAAATTATAAAAACCTTGGCGGAAACCTTTTTTGAATAATTTTTGCAATGTATCATATGTTATTTTATACTACTCTGATATGCATTTTAGGGAACACAGCATTGTCACTAGGAAATAATTAAAATGATTTCTATTTTGTTCTATATCCATCATCCATATTCTGTGAATGGTTGCCATTTTTCAGTTATGAGAACACAGACATGGCTTTACATTATGGTGCAATGCTGAGGGAATGCATACGCCACCAGACTGTTGCAAGGTGAGATGGGAACATAGGTTAACCAATTACATTATGATTAGGTTTTGTGGTTAATCAGTTCCGCCTTGTGAGGACATGGACGCTGATTTACCTCTGATTTAATTTGTAGGTATGTTTTGGAGTCACAGCACATGAGGAAGTTCTTTGACTACATACAACTTCCAAATTTCGACATTGCTGCAGATGCTGCTGCTACTTTTAAGGTTGGTTTGGTTGGATACAACTGTAGCAACCAATTTCTCTCTCTCTCTCTCTCTCTCCCTCTCTCTGTATTTTGAGTTCTGGATCAGCATACTGGCAAACTGCTTACAATCATCTTTTTTTCCCCCATTTTAACTCAGAAGCTTTTATTTTTCCAGTTGGTATTTGTCTTTTAACCTTTCCAGTTCATTTTCTAATTTTTCTCATTTGTCTTTTTTTTTTTTTTTAATTGTACTATCAGTGTTTGTGTTAAGTTGTGAACTTATAAATGTGATGGTAAATAACATTTGGTTTTGTTGCAGGAGCTCTTGACAAGGCATAAGGCTACTGTAGCTGAATTTCTTTCTAAGAATTATGATTGGGTAAGTGATTATTTCCTTTTAGATGTTATGATTTTTTTATTTATTTATACCTTATCGTTGCATTTGTTTCATCATGACATGCCTGCACTACAAATAAGCATAATAAGTGCACTTGACTTCTTGTGATGCACTGATGCTTTGATATTTAATGAAGTCTTGGTACTGTAGAAACTCAATTATGTTGGAAACGAGCATAAAAATATTGTTTGACTAGAACTAGATACTTTTTATTTTTTATATATATATATATATTTATTCACATATTATAGCTCTGAACTAAAGTGTATAACCATGGTGCAGTTCCTGGCGTAATACTTTAGTAGCTAAATTAGAGCCTTGAGATCTTTATCATTTTATTACCATGATTTTCAATTTATTTAGTTGATGTCATCCAACCTCGTTCGTTATTTCAGTTTTTTGCAGAATACAACTCAAAGTTGCTGGAGTCTACCAATTATATTACCAGACGGCAAGCGGTCAAGGTACGAGTCATCATCAATCATTGTAATTGTATATCTTTCATATGGATATGGTAGTTAGCTATTGCAGGATTTTTGGCTCGAAGTTTCTGTTGCTAAGAAAATTTTTTCCATTTTTATTTTACTGTTGCAGTTGTTGGGGGATATATTATTGGATAGATCAAACTCAGCTGTGATGACAAGATATGTGAGCTCTAGGGATAATTTAAGGATTCTTATGAATCTTCTAAGAGTATGATCCTTCTCATATCTCTTTGATTTCATACATCAATATCTAAATGTTGCTAGAATATCAAATTTTCTGATGGCATGATGGTTTCAGCCATCATGTCAGTTGATCCCAACCCTGTTCTTTATATTTTCTAACTACTAAATAATGAATTCATTCCTTCACAGGAATCAAGCAAGAGTATCCAGATAGAAGCTTTTCATGTTTTCAAGGTATGATGCTTAAATTACTCAATGCTCATAACCTAAATGTTTTGATATTTGGTTATTTACATTTATCCCATATATCAACAGCTGTTTGCTGCCAATCAGAATAAACCTCCAGATATTGTTAGCATACTTGTTGCAAATAGAAGCAAGCTTCTACGTTTATTTGCTGATTTCAAGACCGATAAAGGTACTGAGAATAATGCATTGCTCTTAAAACTCTCCAGACTTGACACTGTATTTACCATTACTTGTTGCTTTCTTGCAGAGGATGAACAGTTTGAGGCAGACAAAGCCCAAGTTGTGAGAGAAATCGCAGCCCTTGAGCCTAAGGACAGCGCATGATTGAGCTCAACTATATCCTAGTTATATATAGTCCCCGTATGTCAAGTATATTCTGTGTAATTCCTGTCTCACAATCTCCATCCAATTATAATGGTTGGATGTTGTCAATTATAAACTTGTAAATTAGTGGAATGGATAAAATAATAATGCATGAAATGTGTTCATTGTAGCCATTTGACTTGCCACAAAGATGAGATAATTAGCTCCAAACACCGTAGTGTGTATAAAAAAAAATAGTTTTTTCATATTAAATTGTACACTAAAGGTTGTAATTTAAATATTAAAATGAATAAAATTAAAATATTCTTAATGAAATTCTTTTATGTTTATTTATTAAGGAAAAAAAGAAAATTAAAATGTCATAATATTAAAAATATCGAGATATTTAATAATAGTAACATAATAAATTTAATAAAATTATGATCTATATTATATTTTTTATATTTAATAATTATGATTAGATATTTTAATACTTTTAATGATAAGAGATTTGATTTTTTTTCTCATAAATTAATAATAATTTAATAATTTTAGTATTTAAATTGCACATTAATACTATACCTTAAATAGAATAAAGTGAAACTTTTATTTTTATTTTTCTAGCATATAAAAATTAAAATTTTAAATTTATAATTAAAAATATAAATAACCTTTACCATGGGTAGCATAAACTTCTATGGTGTTGCATTTCTGATTGATTTTTCTACAAAGTTAAAGTAAAGGCCAGTCCTTTCAACTTTGAGCCATGAGCCCCACATGCTTCGTGGGAAGCTTCGAGTGAAAATGTACGACTAAGGACTATTTTGTTTTGGGAAGGGAATAAAGGGTGTGAGCATGAAAGGTATACAAGTCACAAGTGAATAAGGGAGGGGGCATCTTGTTGGCATATTCCAAGAGTATCTCCGCAGCACATTCAAATATTCAACCCAATGGAATGAAATTATCAAAATTATGAAAATGAGTACGTTTTGATATACAGGATGTCTATCATAATTATTTATGAATGAATTTTATCTCTCAAATTTATTTATTATTATTTTTTTTTTTGGAACAGATTTTACAAGGGTTGGGTTTGAAACCCAACCTGGAGAGAAAGGAATGCACCATGGTGACTTTTGTCACTTGGTCCGAAGAGCTCGATGCATCTCTTAAATTTATTTAATGAATAATTATGATGTACATCTCATCTATTATGGAGGGACAAATTCATCTCCATTGCTTATACCTTACAATGGCATCCCATTCCAAATAAAACTTTAGTTAAGCATATTTTATACCACCAGATTCTCCTGCCAGTTTAATATTATCTAAATTAAAATAACAACCTTAATTTACTAATTAATTTTTTTTTATCTATTATTATGTGTAATTGATTAATTAAAATTGACTTAAATAGTTAAAAAGTAATTTGAACCATATTGACTACATTTGTTATCCCACGAAGATAAAGATTTGTCCAATGTAAAATGATTTATAAGTACTTATAAGATTAGTTGAAATAAAATTTGATATTTAAATACACCTTGGATGATGTTGTCTTACAAGAAGAATTATGATCGAAATAACTTGTAGAGTTTATTTAATTAGATGGTCAATTTTATTAATAAATTTTTTATGAAAAAATATTAAAAAATAAATAAATTTTATGAAAGAGTTTTATTAAAATTTTATTAATTATTAACCTTTTTATATTTGCTAAAAAGTTGGTATATTAAAAAGTAATACGAATGTGGTTCTCTAACCAAATACCCAAGTAATCCTACTTCCGGTGAAATTACGGTGGCGATTACAGGGTTGATTTCATAAAGAAATTTTGCAAATCTCAGATTATTATTATTATGTGCATATAAACTCCCTCCACACTTCTCTCTTTCTTGAACAAAAGAGCAAAAACCACACCCTGCCCGGTGCCCATCATCATCAATGGCGGATAATGGTAAGACCCCATTTCACCACTCGCTCTTTCTCTTTTATTATCACTGTGGGATTTCGATTTCATATTTGTTTGTCTGTGATTTAGGTTCTCTCGAAGATTTCTTGGCCACTGCGGTAGATGCGGCTAAGCAAGCTGGCGAGGTCTGTCCCAAATCTTAATTTCTGCTTTCCCTGAATTTACTTTTATTTGAAGGGATTTTCCCAATCAATTTCATCAATGCAAGTCCATTTCTTTGCTCTTGTTTTGTTAATTTCAGTTTTCTTTCTGGGATTGTAGATAATCCGCAAAGGGTTCTACCAGACCAAGCATGTGGAGCACAAAGGGCAGGTCTGATTAAATCCCATTTTGATTTTCTTGTCTTTTTTTTTTTTTTTTTTTTTTTTTAATTTAATTTCATATCTGGTTGTTTCATATTTAGTTTATAATATATATTAGGGGATCATTGGATTGGAGCAGAGTATTCTGGGTTGAGTTTACCTTTTGCTGTCAAATTTGTGCTCTTGCTGCTGTCTGATGTTAGCATTGCCAATCGGCAGCTAAGGGAACCCCATTGAAAGTACAAAAGTCAAAACTTTTAACTTTACTATTATGCTTGCAAAATACAAATTATTGCTTGGAGGAAAGAAGAAAGGTTTTCTTCAAAACCTGAATTGCAGGGAGCTGCTTTCAGAAAGTATGTTCAGTGTAATGGTATTCAGAAAGTATGTTCAGCGTAATGGTCTTATAAATAAGTACATAAATCCTTAAGAAGTGGGAGTCGAAAAATTTCCTCTCATTTGTTAATTGTTATTGGTAATTGACTGGTTGTTTTTAGGTGAACAAGGCAATATCTCTGAAAAGACTGAATTTGATGGATTGTGGGAGAATATATAGCTGTCTGATGCACTCTAGGAAGAATATGTCATGGAAGATATAAGTTTTAAGTGCAGTTGAACATTATGGGAAAAACTAGAAGAATATGTAACTTTTATTTTTCCACTTACCAGGCTTCCCTTTTATTTTGGTTCAAATCCAGGTAGATTTGGTCACAGAAACAGACAAGGCATGTGAAAATCTCATCTTTGATCTTCTCAAGCAGCATTATCCCACTCATATGGTGATTCTCTTGATATCCCACTCAGTTTGTATCATAGCATCCTTATGTTGAAAACTTTTTTCTGAATGTATTATGATTACTCTTCATCTTAGTTCATTGGGGAGGAAACAACTGCTGCTTGTGGTGTGACAGAATTGACAGATGAGCCAACCTGGATTGTTGATCCTCTTGATGGAACTACTAATTTTGTGCACGGGTACCATCCCTCTCCTACATTTTTCTTTATTCTTTGCTTTTTGTGTGCTCATTCATTTCTCATTGCAGGTTCCCTTTTGTCTGTGTTTCCATTGGTCTTACAATTGGAAAGTTTCCAACAGTTGGTGTTGTTTACAATCCAATAATGGATGAGGTGAGAATACAACACTCCTTGGTAGTTTAAAAGCCATGAGGTTAAAACGATAAAATTGTATGTTGCTGGAACAGATTTAACATTGTTCTGAATTTTCTATTTGATTTATAATTCGATGGTGGTCTCCAATGTGTACTATTCCGTGAGTCATGGATAAATGGACAGTTGGACACCTTATCAATTAATTTATGCCTCTTTGATTGGATATACTGACAGAAAAACAGATAGGGTAAAACCATTTGTCTTGTTTCTTTTATGCTGTTGAGATTAGCCCAAAATGTCAATTGTCACTTGAGGGATTATTTTATTTTATTTTTATATTTTTTATCATCTCATTCTTGAAGCCAGTGGTTTTGATATGATCAATGATAAGCAGCTGTGGGTCGGGTTTTCTATATGTAATACGGTAAAAGAAGGTGGAGTCAAAATTATGTCTAAATAACAATTATGGGTTATATTATTGGCAGCTTTTTACTGGCATACATGGGAAAGGTGCTTTCCTGAATGGAAAACCTTTAAAAGGTGAGTTCAGATTTTCTTGATCTATAAATCTCGATTTCACTATCAATCTATCATATGATTAATGATTCTCTAGCAGCTAAATTCTTAAGTGCTCTGGTTTGCAGTATCGGTTCAAACTGAGCTTGTGAAGTCTCTCCTCGCTACAGAGGTATGAGAGCATATACCCGGATTCTTGGTGCTTAACTTCAGCTTCACTCTGATTTGGTTATCATTCTGTTGAGCAATTCCATTATCTCATCTGTCTTGTTCTTTTGGTCCAAATCTCATCTGTCCTGTTAATCACCAGTATTTGACCAAGTGGCACAGTAGAATGGCCCCTCTTTGCTGACATGTTAAGGAGAACTTATAAATTTTTATCCTTCTGAGCAGGCTGGAATACAACGTGATAAGTTGACTTTGGATGCTTCTACAAACAGAATCAATAATTTACTCGTCAAGGTAAGTTCAATAACTTTTTGTGGTTGCCCTTTTGTTTTGCTACAATATGCTAGCTTTCTTAAACATCCGTATTACTTCTCTTATGAACAGGTTAGATCCCTTCGGATGAGTGGCTCCTGTGCGTTGAACCTTTGTGGAATTGCATGTGGAAGGCTTGATCTCTTTTATGAACTTGGATATGGGGGTCCATGGTGAGTTTTGCACTATTTCACTAAAATTTATTCTAGAACATGGTTTGACACGGGCTGCTCCTATGATCAGGGACGTGGCAGCTGGTGTTGTCATTGTTAAAGAAGCTGGAGGTCTTATATATGATCCGTAAGTAGCTAACCTACTCCCAATTTCTTCCTAATTAATAGCAAAGTCTAATAGTCTCCCATAATCTATGATGTCAAACTTTTGAATAGAAGAGCTCAGATGTATAATCGAAACTTTTGGGCCACATAAATTAATATGACATCATTAAACATGAATTGTTATCATTTGAAAATTCATACTGATGTTGACATGGTAGATTTTCTAACCTGCCAAGTTTCGAGTCCTGAAAATGCCGTGTTCATCTTGTAAACCAAAAAGCTAATTGGTTTTTCATTTGCATCAGATCTGGAAAAGATTTTGACATCACTTCTCCGAGAGTTGCAGCTTCAAACCCTTTCCTGAAGGACGCATTTGTGGAGGTGTTGCAACTCTCAGAATGAGGAAATACCTATAGTAGTAATTTATGAATGTCAGAAGTTCCTTATTATCTCATACAATTTGTTTAAGTTATCTTGCTCCTGTCGGCAACATTATATGATGCCTTTCTTCTTTATTCCTCTATGAGGTGTTAATTTAGCACCCTCTTTTACAACAATCTATAATTTTAATAATTCTTCAATAGACATCTGGCCTTGAGTTGTCCCCTTATCGTTAGAGTCTTACAAAGAGCAGAAACTAGTTGGAAGAGATCAATTGTTAAAAAAGGGCAAAAACATGTATATAATTGGAGTTAGGATTTATTTATACATAATTTTAATATAATCATTGACATAAAATTTTAATAATTTATCACTTCATTTTAAATTATTGAGATTTATTATAATTTTTTAAATAAAAAAAAAAAAGAAGAGACAATTACCTTTAAGGAAATGTAAGATAAAAAGTGAATAAATTTTATATGTTTATAATGAAGAGATGAATGGTCATAATCTGTATAAGTAATGAATATAAAAATTGTATATAACTCATATCAATTTGTGTAAACTAGAGCAATTATACAAGAAATGAAACACAAGCCAGGAAGCAGCATGGAGAATACCATGTACAGACATAGACATCCTAGAGCATACTCTGCAAAGAATCAAATTCTAATCCCATTCTCCCTCTCAGGTCAACTCATACATAAATATGCCTGAGGTAACAGCAAGCAATGGTAAAGAGAAACCCCAAAAGAGAGACTAAATCATCATCTAAACATGCTCTGCCCTGGCCCCATTTGCACCATTGATATGGTGTGGTGGTTTTCCGGCACTCTCTGACTTTCTCCTCTTCAACACAACCACCCATGTGTAAGCTTCCAGCAGAACAGCAATGAAGGCCAAAGCCACAATGACACCAATGTATGCATTCTTCCACTTCTCCACCGGGTTCAGGATGTTGAATCCCTTGAAAATGTTGATAACACCAAGGATGATTACAGTGTATCCGACCAAATGATGGTAGATGTTCCAGTAGAATCTAAATTTGTGATCTGGTTTTGGCCTCAGAAGCAGGGCAAATACCTGTAAACCCAAAACAGGACCTCTGTTATAACTCTGTTCATATTTATATTATATATTTCAATTTTCATATAAGATGAGAAAATTTTTACTACCTGAAGCGTTGCAAGGCAGAATAAGGTGATGCCAATGTTTCTGTGGGGATTGTACTGAATTCCGGCAGACTCACTGCCAAGTTTGAGACCGGTTCCCCAGCCGGCCACTCCAACGACATAGGCCGAGACTTGGCAAGAAACATGGAGATAAAACCAGGCAGGATTGGCCGATTTGAATACCTTCAAGTACCTAGCTATTATAGCACCAAGAGGCATCAAGATACCCCAACTCACTGCGTTCAACACCCCATGAATCTGCAATTCCATTATGGAGCAGAAAAACAGAGTCAAAACAGGGTCTGAAAACAGAATAAAAAAATCAAACACAGAAAGAACTCATTCACTTACGTTTTTCTTCTTAATTTTGGAATTTCCACCTGCGGCAGACGCAGTCTGACCGGAGACAAGGTTCAAAGTCCCCTTGGATTGAATGTTGGCTCCAGTAGTAGAATGCGCCTGTGGGTTATTCCCAGACAAAGGACCCTGCTGCCATACTTGGTTCAGAGTTGTACCACTGCTGCCACTAAGCCCTATGGTAGCGAAGATTATCATCTCATTGTTAGAATAAGTTGCTGACAAACCCGAAACGTCGAAACTCAAACTTCCCTCTTGCAACTGCGTCGTGTAGCTAGTGACCGGAGACGTGTAAGCCCTCACCGTCCCGTTTGTCTGTTGGTAAGCCACAAGCGCCTGACAACCCAACATGTCGGTAGAACTCGGATTTATACCCCAAGCTACCCAACTGGACGATGAAACACCAGTTTGCCGGAAGGCAATCTGGAGATTCCCGGTTGAGGAATTATAATTGTAATAAATAAAAGAGTTTAGAACAGGAAGATCATTGCAGGAACTAAACACACGGTTTCCTGAGAAGGAATAGCTGGAGCAACTCTGAGCGTGCGAAGAGAATGTCATGGCCATGACAACTGAAAAAAACAAAACAGGTTTCAATATTCCGGCCATGGTGGTATGTCCCTATGTGAAAAAAGAACCCAAGAAGATTGTTGTGTGGGGTGAGAGAGAATGGAGGGTTATAAATTTATAATATAAGAGAGGGTGGAGGGTGGTAGGTTGGCGGTAGGTCGGTAGAGCCGTAGAGGGACAAAGTCTTGCCTGGGCGGAGGGATATATATAAAGAGGTATTAAAATGGTTTTGGTTAACTAGGCTTGGAAAATTGAGAGAAACATCCCTTTTCACACCTGCCTAGCTACGCGTCCAAACACGTCCGAAAACAACACTTATACTAAATTAATTACCATTTCAATTATGTAATTTAAGGAAATGTAGACCAACAGTAGTCTGACCTAAGGATGACAACGGGCTCTCCCGGGGTGGAATATCCTACGCATCCTCATCTCCGCTATTGGTGGGGATACTGGGATTCCTACAGGCGTTTTTCATGGGGGGCAAAAGGGTAATGCCATCTCCAAGCTGATTGGTCCCTATAGTTTTTCTATTTTTGATTTTTAAATCTAAAATTTTAAATTTTACTTTTTAGTCCTTTAATTTTAATTTTTAAATTATTAAATATCTAAATTATTAAATATTATACTTTAAAGTTTAAACCTTAAAAATATAAACCCTAACATATATTAAACACTAAATTTGAAAAAAATCTAAATCCTAACATTATAAAATATATAAGCTAAAAAATCTAAATCCAAATATCATAAAATATGACTAAAAAAATTTAAATTCTAACTTCCTAAATACTAAACCCTAACACCCTAAATATTGAACCCTAAAAAATCTAAACCTTAACTAATATTCTAAAAATTGAATTTTAAAATCTAAACCTTAAAAAATTTAAATCCAAACACCTTAAACCTTGAATCTTGAACCCTAAAAATATAATCTAGTCCCTTACATTACAATCACTAAACCCTAATGCCCTAATTAAAATAATCTCATTTGATGTTAAGGACTTAAATGATGTCTTTGAAATATAGGGAATTAAAAGTGATGGTCCTACAAACTTGAGAGCTTTTGAATTAGTCACGCCCTTTCTCAAAACCAAGAATCATTGCCACGTCCGCTCGGCCTTTTGTCCACATGACCAGCATCATTCAGGTGAAAAATGCCCTCCATCCCCAAGGTTTTCTTTTCCTTAAAAAAGGATTCAATTTGAACAAGATAAAGTAAATTCTGCCTTAAAAAAAAAAAACTAAATACAAATTAAAAGAAACCTATTAAATAAACACTACAAGAAAATCCACATTTAAAGAGCTGGAGTCGAGTGGAACTAAAGTAGTAGAGAGGGAAGATGTGAGGGTTAAAGTGTTTTTTTTTTTTTTAATCTTTTTTTATTAAATCCTTTAATATATGAAAGTTACATTAAAATTTAACCAATTCATAATCGAATTCCATAAAAAAAAAACTCTCTTAACATTTGTCTCTTTATTCACAAGTGAGGAAAATTTCTTGTAAAATTTTACGAGGAAAAAATCACCTTCATTCCCACCTAACGATGAGGAATATTTTGAGAATCTCTATCCTTGTAATGAAATTCTCACAAAACTCTGTAGGTCATGGAGGAAAATATCATCCTTAGTTTGGCCTCCTAATTAATTCCATTTGGCAAAACAGAGAATGTAGCAAGATCAGGAGTGAGTAATGATATGCACAAAGTTTAACTAATTCATAATCGAGTTTCATAAAGAAAAAACTCTCTTAACATTTGTCCCTTTATTCACAAGTGGGGAAAATTTCTTGTAAAATTTTACGAGGAAAAAATCACCTTCATTCCCACCTAACGATGAGGAATATTTTGAGAATCTCTGTCCTTGTAATGAAATTCTCACAAAACTTTGTAGGTTATGGAGGAAAATATCATCCTTAGTCTGGCCTCCTAATTAATTCCATTTGGCAAAACAGAGAATGTAGCAAGATCAGGAGTGAGTAATGATATGCACAAAGTTTATTTTAAGACATTTTTATATAATTTTTATATATTATTAAATTTTTATATAATTTTTACATATTATTAAATGAGTGAATATATAAAATATTACATATTTTAATTAAAACAATAATTGGTACACCTTATATTTTAACACCCGGTTCAACACCTCCGGTTTAGTCATTAAAAAATCAATATTTTTAAGTCTGAAATTAAAAACAGACAAATATCGTGATATAATCATGCGCACAGAATATAAGAATCGACTGAATTGAGTGTATTTATATTATATTTTTAATGATTAAACCAAAAAGTGTTGAACCAATTATCAAACCAAATGGTGTACCAAACATTTTCCTTCTAATTAACTGACACAGAATAGAAGTGCATATTATTAAATAATTGTATAAAAATTTTTGACATTTTAATCACAATAACATCTTATTTTTTTATAATCTTAAATATTATATGTTATATTATTTTTACATGTTATATTTTATTTTAATTAAATTTAATATAAAAATTTATGTAAAATTAATTATAAATATATTATAATGAACAAACTTTAACATGTACCTTTAATATGCGGATTAAAAAATCTTATAGTTTATTTGAAGTGTGAACAATTTTAGTTTCATTCACTTAAGTTCACTATAAGAAAAATGGTTTTCACTGACAAAAATTTGTGATGAATTTGAAATTATTATTATAACTTATTATAATTGTGACAGATTTAAAAAATTAATTACAGATGCATATATATTTAATGATGAAAAAAAAATTCATCATAAAAATATATTTCATCACTGAAAAATGTTCATAGAAATAAAATAGGCTTTTGTCAATAAAAATCGTCACTATAATTCATTACAATTATGACAGAATTCTAATATTGGTCACATATACCTTACACTTTCAATGATGACCAAATAATTCATCACTAAAAATATATTTTGTCACTAAAAATTGTCAATTTTCTCTAATTAATGCATCTTATATCGATAAAAAAACACATAAGAGAATAAGGTTTTGCGCTATAAATATATCTTACATCGATGAAAAATATTTAAGAAAATAAATTTTTGCACTATAAAACATGTGAAACTCAATAAAACTTGAGATTAGTTTGAGCCTGATTAATTTTAATTGAGCTTGATTAATTTTAATCAAAATTGATTAGTGTTGAAATAATAATATTTTTTATTAAAATTTTGTGATAAATTTATATATTAATTTTTTGTGACAAAATTTTTGTTACAATATTTATGTTGTAATTATATAAATATCTTTTTTGTTTAATATTAATTTTAATAATTAATAACTAAATTTTTCATTATAATTGCATTTGTGATTATTTTTTTGTCATTCAATTATAACATTTGTGATGAAAATTATTGTAACAAAAAATATTTTTTTGTGATGATTAAATTTGTTACAAATAACTCATTAATAATGAGGATTTTTTTATCACTATAAAATCTTTTTCTGTGATAGATGTCAAGTTCATCACTAAAAACATTAACGACAAGAGTTTTACTAATAATTTAAATTCATTACTAATTTTAATTTGTGATAAAAAATAAAAATTTAATGACTAATAATTTAGTCACTAAATATGAATTTTCTTATAATGTTTTGAAGTCACGATGAAATGTAAACTTAGACTGATGCACAGAGTCCACGAGAGTCATTTTTGGGACGTGTAGTGGAAATGAGAAGAAGTCCATTTTTGGGACGTGTAGTGGAAATGAGAAAGAAGTCCATTTTTGGGATGTGTAGTGGAAATGAGAAGAAGTCCATTTTTGGGGCGTGAAGTGGAGATGAGAAGAAGTCCAAACAGACATTATCTACAGAGCCCTCAGCTCCAGGGGACACCACAATGACATGCTTCCAATCGCTGAATTGGTACATCAATCATCCACGGACGCTGCATCCTCCCTGCTCGTAACTGCTCTAAATGAAGGCCGGGATGTGATCATGGACGGTACCTTGTCATGGGAGCCTTTTGTCGAGCAGACAATCGCCATGGCACGGAACGTTCATAGGAAGCGTTACTGAATGGGGGTTGGGTACAAGGTGGCTAAGGATGGCACCATAACGGAAAACTATTGGGAACAAGTAGAGGAGGATGATCAAGAAGAGAAGGAAAATGGGGAGATAGCCAACAGGAAACCTTACAGAGTAGAGCTGGTTGGAGTTGTATGCGATCCTTATTTAGCCGTTGTCCGGGGAATAAGGTATAAGGTTTGACAAATTAAAGTAAATTTCTAGGGTCACTAGAAAGAGTAATTTCCATGAAAATTTTGAATTGATTGGTTGCTTCTTGAATTTGTGCAGGAGAGCAATATTAGTGAGAAGAGCAGCGAGGCTGAATTCCCGATTGAAATCCCACAAGAGGTTTGGTGTTAAAATATTACGTATTCTAATTAACTGCATAGAATAGAAGTGCATATGCATCCACAACTTTGACTGCATTGGTTCAGATGCACTAAACTTTTGATAGATATTAGAGTTTTAATCGTTACACTAGTAGTCTCTTTATCTCTTTTATCTCAATTACC